TTCGTCGGTGGGCTTTTAAAAAAGCCATGGATGAGTCTTTAGAGAGTTTCGTGGCTTCAAGCTATTGGCTGTACACCTTCAAATACAAACACAATATCATCTCGCACAAGGTGACCAAGGTGAAAGATTTGTGATTAGCTTTTATGAATCGGCGAAAGGAATTTGTATGTTCTAAAAGCAGATTAAAATAAGCAAAAGAGGCTGTTACGAGTTTTAGACCTCTCGGTTTTCGCAAATCTTCAATTTCTTCAAAAATATTTTGAGACCAGACTTACTAAAACTATGTGTTTCTTATAGATTGTGACAAAGCGCCAAACAGAAAGTCAGGAGACGATCACAACTTCGGCCAATCAGTTCGTGGTTGATGTTCGCAAGCTTTTACCGAAATATGGAGCCGACGAGGTTATTAACACAGATCAAAGTGGAATCCAACTAGAACTGTACTCTACTCGCACGTTGAGCCACAAGGGGGAGAAGATTACAGTTGGATCTGTTCGCTCTATAAATTTCACCACCCACAGTCACACAGTGCAACCAACAATCACACTAGATGGTCATCTTCTCTCGCCACTCTATCTTTGCTTGAAGGAGCCCAAAGGGCACATGAGCGAGAACGTTCGGTCGCATCTTTTCAAGGCATCGAATGTGGTGATCATCTGCAGCCGTTCTGGAAAGCTCACGACATCCTTGGTCGAGTATTGGCGTGATCATGTTCTCCTTCCATCACTTGGTCAACGCAAGAAGTTTCTACTTATCTCGGACTGTTGGGGAGGACAGACATACGGAAAGGGGTTATACGATCACATTCCCGGATGCACAAGGTTTGAAATACCGAAAAAAACGACGGATCAAATTCGGTCATTGGATGTCTTTTTCAACAGGCAAATGAAAGTAATTCCTCGTCAGCTATATGATCGTGTGCTGCTTGATGAACTTGACATTAACATGAGCGAACGTAATAATATCATTCGTCTCACGTCTCTCAATCATAATCAACTGTCTTCTAAAGTTTTTTGTGGAATGATCCAATACACATGGTACGCCAATGGTTACACAGATAATCATCCGGTGTTCTTCAAAACTGTAGCTAAAGTGTGTTTCTCGTTTGACGCTACAATATGCACCGCGTCTCCATGTGATATGGCTCCTTTCATCTGCTGCAGCTGGTGCCACAAACCACTATGTTTTAATCACTTTTTTCTAAACTATCACTTTCACTGATTTTCTTTCGTGAGACTTCTGTAGTTCATAACGATATCAACGATAAGATGAAGAATTTTGAACACTCTATGAGTTGATGAACAACGAGTAGATGTGTTACTGATAAAATTTGATCTAACTCCTAATTCCGAGTAGGTTGCATGAGCAGTGCGTGAACCTGAGAAATTTTTTACCCTAATACTCTACTATTCTCCAAAAACAATGATTTTCCATTTCACTCTCTCGTTTTCTATGTATCTTGAGAATTCGCTTTCTCGGGTATAAAGGCGCGAGGGCACGAATCCTTTTGAGATTTTTCATACCTCGTCGAGGTCTATCTATCGCCAAAAGATGGAGCTTAAAGGGCTTGTATACCTAAATGTGTTCCCTCGTTAGTAATGGAATTCAAAGGTAAAGTATATTCTTTTTTTTAATAACATGCAATTCATCTATTTTCTGTTCTACTATAGATTTACTTCGGATTGCAAATAAGAGGTACTTTTAAGTTGATAGCCTAAAATAAAAACAAACCAAGCTCATTCTTTTTTTGGTGCTGACGGAACTTCATGCGAAAATCAAAGCTATTATAAATTTGATCTCATAAAAAAAAATATTTCGTTTTTTTAACGACAGAACGATTTAAACATAGACACCCAATGTACTTTATATAGAATTTTGTAAGATAGCAAATTCTATTGAGTTCTTCTATTACAGATAAACCACCAACATGAAAATGCGAGGCAATGTATGCTTCAGCCATTAAATCAAAATTAATCTCTCTTTTATCATAGATTAATTTTCAAGATAGAAACCGCAGATAATATATGTTTCAGTTCCTTGAATAAAACAGATTTTTTTTATTATAAATAGTTTGACACTGAAATCAAATGTAATATGTGTTCAAGTTATGGAACTAAAATTTATCTTTTTTTCTATTGTAGATCGTTTCGAACGAGGAAACCTAAGGTAAGATACATTCAATTTGATAACGTTAAATTAGACTTGTTTTCTTTCTATTATAGATTGATTCCTACATGGAGGATCTAAGGTTTTGTATATGTACCTTATTAAAGTAATATCAGTATTTGTTGTTCTTTTGTAGATTAATCGCAGCGTAAGAATGAAAGCTAGTGTGGATTGAGTTTCATAAAACAAAACGATTTTATTTGATTTTCTTCAGGGCACAATGATTTTAAAATGATTTTCAAGGGTAATATTAAAGCTATCCGAAAAAGTTAAGTGCATCATGTTGTTGATTTTCTAATATAGCTTGATCTAGCTGTGAAAATCGAACATATACGTGTTCCAGTTGTTAAATGGAAATTAATCTACCTGTTTGCTTCATTATAGATTGATTTTTGCATGTAAATCATACTTATGCTGCACTAGTTTAGATAATGTAAGGTACTTTTGTCTTTTTTCTGTTTCAGATTGATGCCAACATGGATGTTGAAAGTAGTTCGAGTTTAGTTAGCCAGAATTAAAGAAATTTTTGTCACTTTTTGTTATAAATTTAATGCAATATAAATATTAAGAGTGAATTGTATTTTGAGTTTAGTCTTCTATTAGTCCAACATTGAGAAGCGTTGATACGAAACCTTTTTTTTTGTGACACCAGAAAAAGTATCTTTCTGTGCATCCGCAGGAAGATTCTTTCTAGGTTTCGTATAAAACCATTCTTTAGAATGTACTGAATGTAAAAATAAGACGATCGTGTTTGGTTGATGTTTTTGCTTGGTCAGTGATTATCTCGCAAATGTATATATCTTGTTCAAAATATGAAAATAAACGACATAGTCTATCGGCATGACGAACGATTAAATTACGAATGACTAAGCGATATTGACTAATGTTTTTTCCCTACCTTGTCAAAAAGGTAATGGTCGACCTCTATATTGGGCTTTTTACCTTATGCGTGTCTATTAGAAGATATCCAAGCAAAGTACTACGAAAAAAAATGACGTTAGAGTATCAATATAAACGAGCGATCGAATTACGAATGAATAAGTGATGGTGAGTAATAAATTTTCCCCTACGTTTTCACAAAGGAGATGCTCCTCTTTTATATGTCAACAAACGTCAGTGGCAAAAATCCTAGTTACTTCATTTCAACCATATATATATATATTTGCGAGATAACCACTGATCAAGCAAAAACAACAATCATTACAATCATCTTAATTTCATAGTAAGTAGACTTTCCAACTTCTTATGCCGTTATGCTACGAAAGAACGTGCTCAAGAGTAAAATAACAATAGTATTCTGCAGAAACATGGTACCAAAATGAACAAGTTAGTTCATCGCTGATGAGTTAGACGAGTGGATAAAGAATGCTCATTGCAAGATGACGATAAATAACTTGAACAAAACTTATAATTCTTTGTTCGTTTTTTTACCGAAGAAATTTGTATTTCGTTATGCTAACTATTTTCATTTGATGAGTCTATTCAATAGGTTTTATGCCAAGTATACAGGTTTTCCAATTTTTACCAACTTTTTACAACTTTCAATCAAACATTTTCTACGATTTTTCAATATTTTATTTCCAATGAAGTTCGAGAACAAAGATATTCGCTCCGCATCAGTCACCATAATTCTGCAAACTAATATTTACATTTGTATGTTGCCTTAAACCAACTGACTTTGTGTCAATGTTTGTAAAATGTTTTTGTATAGCATTGCAAAAATGTATTCTCTTCAGGACATCGCTTTTTATATGTAAAGTTGCTACTACTCCTAGACAACCTAAGATAAGCTTGTTCAATACTCCTTTTTTCATGAATATTCTTTAATCCTAGTGATAGCTAATGACAAGCCTAATCAGATGTGGAAAGATTATTGAATTCACATAATAATATGATCTTACGCTTCTGTAGAACTCTCGTGTTTTGTTCAAATAACGAATGAAATTTACTAAACATATGATTTGTGATTGGTGACAGAAAATAATTTTTTATTTCAGAAGTCGTCTACAAATACTGACTGAACAATAATTAGAATCACAAAATGACCAATATTCTGTCTACTTGGACTTTAACTGGATTAATGGTAGTAAATATTTTGACTCTTGGTTGTGTCAGATGCGTTGTGAATTGGAATGGAAATAATTGGGCCATGTCCTGTGATTTTCGTGGAAATGATCTGTCTCACGTTCAAACTGCACCAGAATTTTGTGGTGGAAAGTGTACTCAAACTCAAGGATGTACTCACTTTACATGGACTCAATATAGCGGTGGAACTTGTTGGATGAAATCGGGCGCAGTTTCCAAAAGCGACGCGCTCTCAACCAGTGATCCAACTATGGTCTGTGGTGTAACGAATGGTGATCAACAAAGTGGCATCCAGTGGAACGGAAATAACTGGGCCATGTCCTGTGATTTTCGTGGAAATGATCTGTCTCACGTTCAAACTGCACCAGAATTTTGTAGTGGAAAGTGTGCTCAAACTCAAGGGTGTACTCACTTTACATGGACTCAATATAGCGGTGGCACTTGTTGGATGAAATCGGGTGCAGTTTCCAAAAATGATGCGCTCTCAACCAGTGATCCAACTATGGTCTGTGGTGTAACGAATGGTGATCCTATTGGACCGCCCATATCTAAGTAAAACACCACTTTATGCTCAATATAGCAATTAGATATACGACCTTCATATTTCTTTATAAAACAAAGCATTTAAAATAGTTAGTTATGTGGCAATTCTAAATGAATATCTCTTGACCTGAGAAAACTTCCAGATTAGTTTCCTGAAATCTTTAATGCGTTATTGAAAGATGGAGACTGTTCAACTTTCCTGGACGAATCGTCGTACAATTAGTCGGTATTTTTGAGTTAGCAAGTATCGTAGTTTTATTGACATGTAAAATTAAACTGCAGAAAAAAAAAATTTTTAAGAAGGGATCCGTTCAAGAAAAATCAGTATAGATGCAGTTGAGGTAGAGTGCAGAATAGATAAAATACGGGCAGAACTTCGATCATAACTTGTAATTTTTTTATTCCTGAAAAGAAATGTACTGTCAACTTTACTTCAATTATAGTGTCAGAAAGCGAGGTATTGCCTGGCCACCTGAAAACACGCAAGATTCACCGAATATTTTTTCCGGTGGAAAAATCTCCTGGACGTACAACTGGTCGCCCTACAAAGTCAACATGGCTGGCGCAGAATTTGTTCCAATGTTATGGAGTACAAACAAAGGCCACGATGGAAATCAATTTTACAATCAAGCAAAAGGTGCGAAAGTCGTACTCGGTTTTAATGAACCGGAGCGTGGTGATCAAGCAAATATGAATCCGAAGGAGGCAGCGAGTGCCTGGAAACAATATATCGAGCCTCTCAGAGCTCAAGGTGCTCGACTCGGTTCACCAGCCATTGCCTCGACTGATCAAGGACTCAATTGGATGCGACAATTTCTTGACGAATTGAATAAAGTTGGTGGACACATTGATTTTCTTGCTCTGCACTGGTATGGTCGTGGTGTAGATAACTTCATTAATTGGATTACCAAAGTTCGTCAAGATTCAGGTAATAAATATCCAGTATGGGTCACAGAATTTGCATGCACATCTTGGAATCCAAGTCAGCCAGTTTCTCAACAAGAAGTCAACGAATTTATGAGGCAGAGTATTGCCAGATTGGATTCGTTGCAGTGGGTAGAACGCTATGCATGGTTTGGTGCACAACGACAACTAGATGCTGCTCTTGGTTCGACTAATTGTTTGATTGCATCTAATGGACAATTGTCTACGTTGGGTCAACAATATGTTCACAATTTATAAAACAAAACCATGATGAATATAAGTGAACATAATTAATCTTTCTTCAAATTTTTTTAAAATAAATTTGTCTGTTTTCTTTGCCCTTATATCACTGAAGTATAATCTCAAGAACTCTTTTGCCTTTATCAAGCGTGCCATCGGGATAGTATGGGTTTGGGTGTCGAGATTTTATTTTCTGTTAATCCGACAGATCGCCACAACCATACCTTCAAGCTATCATATATAAGATATGTAATCATTGAATACAGTTCTCTCATCATCCAACTACAAAATGAGTTTAATCGAAACATTTTCATTATATAGTTTTTTGTTCTTATGTCTCATAATGTTTTACGAGCTTCGAAGTTGTTTTCCACTTAGGTGTGCACCAGTGCCAGTAACTGGGTACTTAGTCATTTGACGTTTATTCCGCTAATCGATCAGTACTTTCCTCTTTTCTAAGGGTGTGGGTGTGAGGGTTGGTTTGATGTTGGTATGGGTGTCGTTATTGTCATTCTAACCATAACCGCATCCAAACAACATCCACACCCACACCCACCCACCCACATCTACACCCTAGCCATACCCACACCCTGAAGACATGAAATTCATTTATAGTATTCTAAATTATAACGATTGATATATAGAAATATATGATTAGCCAATGGATTCAGTATCATAACTTATATCACTACTTCAACAGCCTAAAAATCACTGTATGACAATATACTAGAAAAGAAAGTAC